GAACATTCAACAAGGAATCTCCACGCACTGGAGATTCTCAAGAAGAAAGATGCCACAGGAGAACCGGAACAAACCTACCCAACACCAAGAACAGACTCGATTCTGCTAGACTCAGTAAGGTCGATCGAGTTCAGCACGGATACGAGCAAAATAATAGTAGTCTTGTGCCCCAAAGTAATGTCCAAGTGCGGAATGAGCCTAGTCTCAGCCCAAACACATGGACCACTGAAACCACTACTAAATCTAACTCCTATTCTGAGTCTGAAGAGGAAGTCTCCCCCCTCAAGTGCCAAGTCTACCAGGCCCATCGAGCCCTCAAGAGGGACCTCACCTATCACCCACATCCCCAATGATAAACTACATCATATGGAATGTTAGGGGTGGTAACAGTGCTGAATTCAAAAGGCACTGTCTAGAGATGGTTAAAATGCACAAGCCGGCAGTGCTAGTCCTACTGGAAACCAAGATGGTTGACCATCAGACATTGGCCAAAACCTTGGATTTTGATATGATCATTCAATCTCCAGCGATGGGTGCATCTGGGGGAATCGTGTTCATGTGGAAGGAGGACCTTGTAGCTGTGGAAGAAGTAGCCACTACCCCCCAAGGTATTCACGCAATGGTGAAGGTAAGACCTGCGCACCCCCCTTGGTTTTTCTCAGCTATTTATGCCAGTAATACTCTATCAGAAAGAAAATTCCTATGGGATCAGCTAATCACCATCTCTAGGAACACCAGTGAGAACTGGTTCATAGGGGAGACTTCAATGAAGTCCTGAAGGCCAGGGACAAATTTGGGGGCAACCCTATAAACCTGAGCCGCAGTAACCTGTTCTGGAAATGCATAAATAAGTGTAACTTAATTGACCTAGGGTACAAAGGTAGCAAATACACCTGGACCATCAAAAGATATTCCAACAGTAATGCCCTAATTCTGGAAACGAGTGATAGGTGCTTTGCCAATGAGGGTTGGATTAAACAGTACCTCAAGGCAAGTGTACAACACCTCCCTAGGACCCACTCAGACCACTGTCCCTTGAAAATCTAATTGGAAGGGCCCCCAAGTAATAAACCAACCAGGCCCTTCAGATTTGAAACAATGTAGGCTAGCCACCCTTCTTTCCCAAGTATTATCAATCAAGCCTTCTCTGTCCAGCCCACTCTCCTCCAATCCACTGATAAATTCAAAAGGCTGGCAATAAAATGGAACCAAGAAGTCTTTGTAACATCTTCCACCAAAAGAATAGACTCTTGGCCAGAATCAGTGGCATCCAAAGGTCCCCTAGCTACCAATTCAGTAGCTTCCTGCAAAACCTTGAGTCAGAGCTCAATAACAAGCTGAACCTCATCCTCAGAAATGAGGAGGACTTCTGGAAACTGAAATCCAGGATCAGCTGGCTAAATGATGGAGATGCCAGCACAAGATTCTTCCACACTTCTACCCTAAATAGAAGGAGAAGAAATAGGATCCTATCCCTCAAAGAAGACAATGGCAACTGGATCAATGATCAGAAAGAGATCCAGTCCACCATTGTCGACTTCTTTACCAAGCTCTACACAACCTCCCATTCTGAAGTTCCTTGGGCAACCACTAACCACTCTACCATGGAACCTGCTCTGCACCAAAGCCATAAGGTTTTCATGGACAGACCCCTCCAGATGACTGAAATCAAAAAGGCTGTCTTCTCCAGTAAACCATTCAAATCCCCTGTCCGGTGGGGGACTCTGTCTCAGAATTCTGCATGAAATGCTTCAGCACTTGCTCCATGGACAAAACCATGAACCAAACCCTTCTGTGCCTAATCCCCAAATGCCCTCAAGCCTCAATGCTGGAAAACTTTAGACCCACTGGCCTTTGCAATACAATCTACGAAACAATCACTAAAATCATAGTGAATAGGATTAAACCTATCACGCCCCACATCATAGGACCAAGCCAAGCAAGCTTCCTAACCAATAGAAGGGCCAGTGACAATGCCATTATTGTCCAAGAATACATCAACCATTTCAGGAAAATGAAAGGAAAGAGTGGCAACATGATCCTCAAAATAGACCTAGAGAAGGCCTTTGACAGGCTGGAATGGTCTTTCATTAGAGACACTCTAGAGGCCTTCAACTTCCCCAAGGGCCTATCCAAACTCATCATGTCTTGCATAAGTACCTCATCCATCTCCATCCTTGTCAATGGAGGTAAAACTGAACCTTTCAACCCTTCAAGAGGCATCAGACAGGGGGACCCCATGTCACCCTACCTATTCATTCTGTGTATGGAAAGGCTCTCCAGATCTATTGACCAAGCAGTCATGCAAAACCAATGGCATCCCATTAGCATAAGCAGGACTGGGCCTAAAATTTCCCATCTCTTCTTTGCAGATGACCTCACCCTCTTTGCTAAAGGTAACTTTAGGAACTGCAATACCATCCTATCCATACTACATAGCTTCAACAATCAGTCAGGACAAAAAATAAATCTAACCAAATCCAGAGTCCTGTTCTCCTCAAATACCACCCAGGATACCTCACAACAACTCACCAACCTTCTATCCATCAAACACACCACCTCCTTTGAGAAATATCTTGGTTTTCCCATTTTCCACAAGAAACAGACAGCCTCAGACTTCCAATTCATCATTGACAATATGCAATCCAAGTTGGCTGGCTGGAAAACTAATTACCTCAACATGGCTGGGAGAACAGTCCTGGCAAAGACCACCCTGAGCAGTATCCCAAGCCATGTAATGCAATATATCTCCCTCCCCACCAAAGTAACTAACCAAATTGATAGAATCCAGAGAAACTTCCTCTGGGGCACCACCCCGAAAAAGAAGAAGCTTCATTTGATTAAGTGGTATGTAGTCACTCAAACAAAATCAGAGGGAGGGCTAGGCATGCAAAAAGCTAGCTTTAAAAACAAAGTTGCTCTAGCAAACCTTGCATGGAGAGCTTGCAAGAATACTAACAGCCTTTGGGCCAGAGTCCTTATCCACAAGCACTGTAACATGTCCAGACCTACTCAAGCTTTGAGACACCCTAGGAACCAAAAATCACCAATTTGGAAGGGTTTACTAAAGGGCTGGGAAACATGTAGCAAAGCCAGCAGATGGGTAGTTAACAGGGGGAATAGGGTTAACTTCTTTAATGACACCTGGATTCCTAATCAGCCAGCCCTCAGGCAATTGATACAAGGTCCTCAAACCCAGAATGACCTCAATATTAAGGTTGAATCAATTCACAATATGGGCACCTGGGACACCTCAATCTTCTCATTTGACCTCCCCCCATATCCTAAACCTTCTTAACTCTGTATTTATTCCCAGTATAGCCACTAAAGAGGACAACCTAATTTGGGGCCTCACTGCCAATGGGAAATTCTCCAACAACACTGCTTACTCCTTCTTAAGAAGGAACACTCATGCTTACTCTCCTGGAAAAGAACAACAATTCAAGTGGATTTGGGAACTCCAAACACCAAATAAAATAAAGCACTTTATCTGGCTCTTAACTCACAGAAGACTAGCCACCGGGAGCTTTCTACACTCTATTGGACTGGAATGCTCCCCTCAGTGCCACTTTTGTGGGTTCGAAAAAGAGGACATTGACCACATCTTCTCCCAATGCCCAAATGCTGTTCAGTTTTGGAATTCAATCAAATCAAAATCTACAGCTCCACCATCTTCCAATCTACCTCTCAATGGCCAGCCTTGGCAATCAGTTTTGCAAAATATCAAAGGTGTTAAGTACAATAACTGCCTCAACTGGGACAGCCTCCTTCCCTACTGTCTCTTGCATATTTGGCTGTCAAGGAACAACAATGTGTTCAACAACAAAAAGGACCCAATCAATGCTAACAACACAATTTCTAAGGCAACTGAATTCCATGTGCTTAATAATAACAAGCAAAACCAGTACATCCACCAAATCATGCTAAAATGGATTCCACCACCAAGAGGCTCCTATAAACTCAATACTGACGGAACAGCTAAGGAAAACCTAGGAATGGGGGGAGTTGGTGGGATTTTCAGAAATCATAATGGAAACTGGATTTTGGGATACATGGAAAACATACCCCATACAACAAACATAAGGGCAGAAATCAAAGCCCTTATCAGAGTTCTACAACTAGCGGAACTAAACAACCTACTTCCGCTAGAAATAGACACTGATTCTTCAGAAACAATCAATATGCTGTTAAATGGAAATCTAATATTTGACCTTCTAATTTGTGAATGCAGATTGTTGATTCAAAGAATGGGCAACATGGTGGTGAGGCACACATACCGGGAGCAAAACAGGGTAGCTGATGTGCTGGCGAAGGAGGCAGCAAAGGAAACTTTTTTGAACAAATCAGTCTCTCTAGCAGTTCCTTCGGTGTTTGCCATTGATGTATTTTGGGCAGACATCCTAGGAACTGAACTACCTAGATCTTTTGTGGGTTGTAACTCAAGTACAATTATGCAAAACTATGCGTCATTGGGGGCCATCAGGTACCCCAGTAGCTGCCAAAGTAGTGTAACAACGTTGTTTTAACTTTCTAATATATTATCCTTTTAACAAAAAAAAAAAAAGGACATGTCACAAATGATGCAATTTTTAAACACCCCAAACATAATCATGAAATATAAAAACCTAGAGGTGAGACATTTGCCCATGCACATATTTGCTTGCTTGTCTCATACCTCACCAAAAATATCATAATATTACATTCCATAGAACATGTATCTTTAAATTCTTTTAAGTATCGTATAAATATTTTAAACACAATTTTAAAGTTTTTAAAAAAGGGCATCACAATGCACTAGATTCTCGCCATGCGCGAGGTCCAGGGAAGGGCCTGACCACAAGGTCTATTATTCGCAGTCTTACCTTGCATTTCTACAAGAGGCTCGAACCCGTGACATCCTGGTCACATGACAGCACTTTTTAAAGAGGATAGGAAATTTTCAGAACTTGAAGGGGATAAGGAGAAACTTTTAGAAAGTTGAGGGGAAAATGTTTCAGAGATACAGGACTTTAGCTGCAAAAATGGTTAGGTGACTTAACTCGTGAAAACAGTAATGAGGGAGAGAGCGCGTGCTGATTCCCCTCGAAATTCAAACCTCAGTCACATTGAGTACTCTGTCTGAATTCCGGAATCCCTAAAGCCCCTTTTCCTCCGTCTGCGAACCAAACACCCCGACGGTACGGCGTAGTACAGATCGATCGATGCGGAACATTCTATCGATGTGGGAAAATGGATCCGGCAACGGCAAAGATAATGACGATAACATCAAGGAGAAGAGCATAACAAAAGCAGCAGGGTTCGTGGTCTTCTCGGGAATCGCAATGAGCATTCTCAAAGCCGTCAATCCTTTCAATAATCCAAACCTCAATATTAAAAGCAGTGAGGTAAAGGCAACAGTTTTTGAGTCAGCTCAACCTCAAATTCAGCCTCACGTGCTTCAACAATCCCAGCCAGAGCCTGAGCCCATTGTCAAGGTTGTTGTCTCGTTTGTAATTGCATACGTTTGCTAAGTTATATGTTCAATCATTTTAAGTTTATTTTTCTAAATGTGTTTGTTTTGTGGCTTTTTTAGAAACCGAATTGTTGTGCGGAGAAAAGAGCAAAGGAAGCTTCACAAAATGTAATAGAGATTGAGCGGGGAGACACTCTTTGGGGACTCTCTAGACAATATGGGGTATGCATTCGTGTTATTTCCTCTATCTCAATTTAGATAACATTCTGCAAATGTTTGATGCCATTCCATTTCTTCTACTTTTATGACTTTTAAGAATTCAAATTCGTTTTAGCTATTCAAATTAAACTATGATGCATTTTTACTTTGTCAACATCAATTTTTGAACTACTGCTTTAATATTTTATTTCTGATATTTGTAAAATATTATATGAATCAAATTACTAACATTTTAAACTTGCCGTCATATAAAATATGAAAGATTGAGTATTTTATTAGAATATTGGTTTCTCCTTTATTCCAAAGAAAAAAAGAGGACAAAAATCTTCATTTACCAGTTGATGGCATGGTAGCATATTGAATGTATATTTTGGCTTCACAGGTATCAATTGAGGCAATTAAGGAGGCTAACGGGCTTGAAGGGGATACCATCTATGCTGGCAAGAAACTTGTAATACCCTAATGTGCTCCTTCTCTTTGCTTCTTCTTGTTGTATCATTACTTATGATGTGAGTTTTTTTTTTCTTCCTTTTTGTCTATTGGGTAAGCTGTATTAGGGCAGAAAATTTTGTAGTTTGAGACCAACGCTATGGCTGCCAGTGGAGATAGGGATGTGAGATTGGTTTTGAGCTATGTAAAATGAGGAAAATCTTAGCTGCTATGATGAACTTGTATCTTGACTCACAATATTTTATCATGTAGAAGAAATGCTTACTTTCCAAATCCTCTTTTGGCTTGTTGCCCTTTATCATGTGTATTATTGTATTTCTCTTTGTTTAGTTGCATCCTCCATGGTATTATATTTGGCAGCAAATCAAACTTCCAATTTTAATCTGTTGCAAAAGCAAGAGAAATGCAGTTAGCAATAAGATCAAACTTTTTTTTTTATATATAACAAAAGCAACAAGAAGAAACTGAACAAACAAAATGTTAACAGAAATGTAAAGTAAAGGGGTTTTGAACCTATCAAAAGAAAATGTAAGGGGTTGTGATCATCAATCACAAGTATTTTCCCAGTGAGGGTGGATGGGATGGAAGAAATTTGGGCGTAAATCTTTCCTAATATATGTAGGATTTAAAGCTTCAAATCTACTGGTTATCCGTCTAGGAAAGCCTTCATGCATTTGTTCTGCTTTACCATTTGATGCATGAACTTGTTGAATCTTCACTAATTATAGATTGTAAAAGTTAGCTTGTATGATTTCGTTATATTGGCTCCAAAGTAACTATCCAATTGCATTGCTAGAGAAGCTTACAGAGGTGACAATAGAATGTTTCACCAGCAAGAAAAGTAATGGTTGCATCTCCCTAATCTTTACCCTACCGTTACTTTCCTCCAGCTCAAAGTCTGCATAATAATGCATTTTCACGATATTATCATTTTTCCACTTGACAACATCTATTACAATGTTCTGAACTTGTAATGGCAAGTTCTGCCAGACTACTGCTATGTTGCAGCATAGGAACCTGTCAACATGTGAATATTAGCATTGAAACTAGAGAAACAATGGAAACCTACAATGGACTATGAGGCAAGGGATATGTATCCACTTCACCTCCCACTCAGTAATGGTGGAAGCTCATAAATCTCTCATCGTGGAGAGTGAGATCAATCTTGTCCATCAGGTCTTCCCACGTGCATGTGCTCTTCTTCCACCATACTGTAGGCTTCTTTCTATTTTCGGTGCAAGTATAGCGCATTTCTTATGCTTGGTATGGTTCTTCCATTTATTAATGTCTTGGCTCCTATACTTATTGTTTTGGCTAGGCATCAATTGAATTTGGCCTCTTAACGTCTTTGACTTAATTAAGCATTGCTTATTATGTGGGTATACATGATGGTCTTATATAGTCTGATGATGAGGATTTAATGTGCCGAGCATCATGATCATATCGTATGTAAATTATCAAATGCATATACTTGTTAGAACAGCTCTCCCTTC